CCCCCCCTCCCGAAAAAAAAGCCCACACACACTTACAAAAAAAGCAAGAATCCCTTTCCGGGTCTTTCCCTATCTCTTCACGCGTTCCTTAACTCTTCCTGTGCAGCATGTCATCAGCACGGAGTTCTACGACGAGCACAAACGTCAGCCATCTCTCGGTGCATGGAACAGAGAGAGTTAACTTCACAAAGTGCAAAGGAGAAAAATCTGCTCGCTCCGCCTTCCTGGTCTTTGTTTATGTTTCTTTCTTTCTCTCGTTCCGATGTGTTTTCTGTAGTGTTGCACTTTGTGTTGTCTTTTCCATCTCACAAACCCGGCTTTTGTCGTGTAGCGGTTATAAGGCGTTTCACTGTTGCCCGGTGGCGATCCGAGTTCGATTCCCAAATGGGGAGAATTTTAATTTAGTATCTCGGTCTTTCTCCTGGGATTTGGCATCTCTCTAAACTTGGGTTGGCCCTGACAGGCAGGGTCGGAAGCTTGTCTCCTAAATGATCTAAATTGTGTCCACGCGGGGGTAAAAAAAAAAACAACCTACATTACATTCCATCTCGCCAACAGTACTGTCTCACTCATTTCATTAAAATCTGTTCATCTGAAGATCTGCATCAATTTACAAATTTGCTGAGTCACATGTTACATATATTGTGCGGATGTATGGGCCAAAAGCCTATAAAATCGATAGAAATAGAACCATCGAGGAGCACACATGTAATCTATGTGTACTTGAATGTGAAACGAACTCATAATATTTCGCCACATGATTAAATCATTATGATTACTTATCTGTCCACCCATCTATCTGTGTATGTATCAATTCAGCTACCCGTCTGAAACGGAAATTTAATACTAGTCTATATATCTACATATTTGCCTAATCATTAACGGATCTGACTCTATCTGTCTATCTATCTATCTATCTATCTATCTATCTATCTATCTATCTATCTATCTATCTATCTGTCTATCTATCTATTTATCTGTCTGTCTATCTACCTATCCAACTATGTATATATCTATGCCTTTATCTATGTCCGTCTATTTGCCTCTCTCTCTCTCACCTTTACTCTCACCTGTTCTTTTCCTCTCCCTCTGTCTTTCTCTGAATATGTGTGTAGATGCCTTAGTGAAAGTGTGTGTGTGTGCGTGTGTGCGCGCGTGTGTATGTGTGTGTGTGTGTGTGTGTGTGTGTGTGTGTGTGTGTGTGTGTGTGCGTGCGTGAGCGCGCGCGTTTATGTGAGTATCTGAGTGTAAAGATGCCCATCTGCAATTCCCTATCATAACAATCATGAAGCAGGGCCATACCATAATATTACCTAAAGTTCCAGACTTTGATCATTTCTTTGTGTAGTCACCACAGCTGGAACCCGTACCTGGAAGCCGTCCCGCTAACGTAACTCTGACAGCAGGCGCCATCGCCTGGTTTGCGCCAATTTCCCGCGCCGTACAAACCGACCTGGCTAAACAGCTGTTTTCCCTGGCCTGTACTGTACCGTACATGCTCAGAGCCAGGAGTGTTGTGTTGTGGGCGGTTACTACTTATAGAACTAAAGGGAGGATTTGGGGGGGGAGTCGCTGTTTGTTGGATAAGAAAATTGATTTAATCATCAGCTTAACAAGGATGTATATAGTTTATGCCTCAACGCTGGTAGGGGGTAGGTAAGGGAATGTTGTGAGATATAATATAGGAGATGGATAGGAACGGATTGGGTTTAAGCACAATAACTTTCAATAAGAAAAAGGGGTTAGCCAAATGTTGTACTCAACTACTTCACGCTGATTCACTCCCTTATACAATGTAATGTGTGCGCAATAGTAATACGAATGTTCTCATCCTTGTTTCTCACAAAGTTCTTATAATAGAAATCTCAACTCTTCTCACTGTACGCAATAGGGGCTCCAGTGGCTGAGTGAGTAGTGAGTTCAGACTCAAATGTCGGTGACACAGGGTTTATATGGATCGTCACTGGTGTGTGTCTTCGAGCTAGACACAACAACTCTAGCTTACAAAACAGGGCGCTGCACAGTGTCGACCAGCAATGGCATGTTTGTAAAATTGTTCGGTATTAGTATGATAATGCGTAGTCTATCTATGTAGGCCCTAATTTGTTAATGTATTCATGTATGTATGTCTGTATGTTGTTTATTTGTTTATAATTATGCGTTTGTGTATGTGCGTTTGCCATTGTAACCTAAATTGCCCTGTGGGGCTCAATTTTTTTAAAATTAGTTCTCATAATTCATTCATAAACCACCCCCTTACACTAAGTAACTTGTGTGAAAAAATAGCATGAACATTGTCACCCTCGTTTCTCACAAAGTGCGTGTAGGCCATGTAGTTGCTTTTATTGTTTGCGTATATGTTACGTCACTTCCCCAAAAACATTGGCGTCTGTGGTGTAGTGGTTAGGTGATTTGCTATTGCACGCAGGAGACACAAATTCGACACCAGAGAGGGGACAATTTTTATGGAGTTTCACAGTCTTTCTGCTGGGACAGTGTATTTCTTTCAGCCCGTGTTGGCCCTGATATGCAAGGTCAAAGCCCAAGTCTTAATGATCTAATTTGAGTCAATTGGGGCGCAACTTTGAATCTCTGCATAAGACAAACGTTTTTAAAAAGTCGAAAATAATGCTGTGACTAAGCCACCCCCTGACATCGGAATTTCAATTATTGACCGGCAGTAAACGAAGATTTCCAAGAGAGCAAAAACACCCATCTATAGAAATTAATTTGTTTTAACTACAGTGTGATTAATGAACACGCAGTGCTATAAATGAAACAGGGAGAGAGAGAGAGAGAGAGAGAGAGAGAGAGAGAGAGAGAGAGAGAGAGAGAGAGAGGGGGGGGGGAGATATAGATCGGAGACAGAGAGATAGATTGATAGAGATAATGTTTACAAAGCGGGGGTGTTTCAGCACGTAAAACATATACTTATCAACCTCCTGTCTTGTTTTGTGCTTGCATGAGGGAGCATTAAACCTTTAAAACATCTACTGCCATGGCAAACAACGAAGACAAATTTCTCCCTGAACCTGAGAGATGAATAAAGATTGTTGTCGTCATTGTGATTGTCATTGTGAAAACACCTTCTTAAAAGAAAAACCCTTGCCCCATCTGTCCCTATTGCCTTTCTGTGTTTCCCACGCTCTTCATAACCTTCGACCTCCAAAACCGTACTGGTACTCATACTCTCCCTCTCTTTCCTCCTCCTCAGAGAACGAAAGAGACCACAAAGCGGAAGTTCAAAGACCGGAAGTACAGCACAGCACAGCACCACTCAGATCTCATTCGACTTTCATCAACTTTCGCCCGTCTGAGATTCGAGTGAGTGCGCACCACAACCAAACGTGCACGCCCCGCTGGTTCCAATAATCTCCTCGGAACCCCCGTGACGTCATAGCTTCCTGCGCTGTAAACTTCAAAGACAACCCGGAAGGGAAGACCCGGTCGGACAACAGGCCAGACCAACACGTACCCTACTCTCAGTAAGAGGCCTCATCTGTAAACTGTAAATAAAGAACCATAATATTGTGTGTTAAGGTTAATCGCAAGTCTCAACACAATAACTTCAATGCTTTGTTCTTCAGAGAAATGCGAAGATAGTATTCTACAGTATGGTTACTCTTAATCTTCAGAAAACGACTGAGAAATTATGGTTCCCCTCTGAGAAAAAGCATCCTGAAATATTGACTCCTAATCAGGGCTGGATTAAACATGTGGGAGGCCTTGGGGTCATTTGGAAGGGAGGCCCCCTTTCCAACTCCACTCCCCTATAGCATACACCACGTACTAAATGCTAATATACAATAAGGACACTTTTAATTAGGAAATACTGAACGGGGACTATTCTTCCAATGTTATGATATATAATGAATGAACACAATGATGACAATAAAATGAACACAAATTGTTTTTACCCACTTTATTTACACAGAGACATTGAGTTAAAAGAATTCAATTTTTTATGAAAAGGTATAGTGTATCTAACATGTAAATATAGTTCAAATCAGAGAATTGATGGAGTTATAAACCATTACAGCCCAGACACTTTCCTCTATTTTCTTGCGGCAAAGTCGGTGACGATGTCACTGAAGTTCAATTCGCGCAGTATATCTGACCCTATGCTACAATATACACTGATGGGAGGCCCACTCTTAGTGGGTGGCTCAGGACCCAGGCCCCTTGGGCCCTCTCTTTTATACGGCCCTGCGCCCAATTACGTAGATGTCCCCTACGGTTGCGCATAAAAAATTATGTCTTAGAGACTGCGCACTGTCATGGCCGTCCCTGTCTATATACAACCTTACCTTCGAAGTGTACGCACCCTGAGTTGCGCAAGTACGCCCAAAACACTATCCTCGATTTACAGTTTTATCCGTCTAGTACCTAGTTTTGAGAAATTTGACGTCTAAGATTTTGAGTTCACAACATGTCAAGCTTTTTCGAATGCAACTCTTTGAATATCTTGATAACGACTCCGAATAATCTAACGATTTTAATGGAGCAGATAGAACATTTGCTCTTGACCCCATGGTCTTAGCAAATCAAAACGGCCAAAATGTCAAACACTGAACTTCGTAATTCTATGCTAGTTTTTTTAGTAAGGTTTTACGGCACTCGCAACTGCATAAGGTCATATGAGCGCCAAGGGGTGAGAAGTCCAAACAGGGAATCAGGCTTACTCTGTTCACCTCTCTAGCCTCAACAGCACAGAGTCTGCTTCGACTGCCAAGGCACCCCGGAAATAGCAGTTCTCAAGAGAGTAACAAACATACAAAAGAAGCAGAGGAAAAAATGACGATTATAAGGATGACGAAAGAAAAAGCAGCAGTTTTCCCCTTATGTTGTTCCCTCACAGTATGAGCATGACATTGATAAATCAGCCCATTTACAATTCTACTGTGCATAAGAACATGTTAATACCCCCCCCCCCCAAAAAAAAGACACTTCAGTCAGTAACACTAACACTGCTCTGGGGGGAGGGGGGGTTCTATGCTAATGAAATGTAGAGCAAAACACCAGCCTCGCTATAGTCCATTAAGCGCGGCACCTTCCACCTTTACCTTTCATTTTGGCTATAATGATGCGCTCAATAATGAGCCAGAAATACGTTCGAGTCCAGGGTCTAGGATATTATAATTCTGTATTTAGAACAATCTTTATATATGGGTATTTTTACGTCCCCATAGACACAATTTTGATTATTCAGGAAGCAGGCTTCTGATCCTGTCGGTCAGGGCCAACCCAGTACACTCAGTATAGTTAGGAAGATAACAAGACTGTGCAAGATATTACAGTTCGGAGCAGAACAAAGTTTGAATCATATTGAATGCGTATCATTTGTTTGGCTATTCCATCCATTTCTGACAGTTTTGACCTAGATTTCACTGCTTTCAACAAATCTGTTGAGATGTAAATGTACGCTAGAAAACCAAATCTGTCTCCACTTGTTCAGTAAATCTAATTCTTGATACAGTTACGTTTGTGGGTGGACGGCGGGTGCTCTGTTGTGGTTTACTCCTTTTTTTCCTATCAAACATCTACCGTCCTTATCCCTCCTCCTTTTTTTCTTTGTACGTTACTCTCGAGTAATAGTTTTTTAATCTTCGGCATTTATATGACCTTATTATGTTACAAATGCTGTAGAAGTCTAACCAAAATTTAAACAAATCAAACTGCATTAGACTTTGAGACGTCCTTAGCACTGCCATTCACACTCCATCGACTCGTAATATGATCTAATTATTGTGTTGCAAGTGCCGTAAAACTCATATTCAAATGTGGTTACGTTTTCAGAGTTGAGATGTGCCAACACAACTTTGACGCCGACAAACGGAGACAGTAACCCTCATAAGCCTGTCTTGGACAACTGGAAAAATTAACCCTCAAAACCCAGCTGTGGACAACCGGAGACATTAACCCTCACACTCCAGCCAGCAGTATCAGAACGATCTGATCAAGGGCTGCCGTTACCATGGCGACCGGCACGCGTCTGATGCGTGAGATCAACGACCAGTTCCTGAGCTGCAAGCTGTGCGAGGGAAAGTTCCGCGAGCCCAAGACTCTGACGTGTCTGCACACGTTCTGTCTCAGCTGTCTGCAGGCGCACTTCGACACCGAGGCCGAGGGACGGTCCGGCCGCTACAGCATCTACCTGCGTCACGTGACATGCCCCGTGTGCCAGAGGTGGGCGTGGTTTGCTGGCTGTCACTGAGAGGGCGTGGTTTATTGTCTGTCGCTGAGTGGGAGGAGGCTCTGTTATATGACATTGCCGGAAGCATTTGTTCGCTGGGTTGTTTTTAGAATAAGCTTGTGTGTTTATTTTGTTTGATTTTTTTTGTTTGCTGTTTTGTTTTGTTTTTTTGGAGAGGGGGATGTTATGGGTGATATGGTTACCTTCTTTGTTTTATTTGTTTTTGCGTTCTTATCGGAAAAAAGTTGGGGAAACCGAGTGGGGTTGGGATAGGAGAGGGAAAGAGTGTTGAAAAAATGTTTGTTTTAGTTACGTTTGTGTCACTGGTGATTTTATTAAGTCGCCTCTTTCTCTTTATTTTTCATACTCATGTTTCATCCGATAATGTGAGACCCAACATGTGCGTACCAAGGTATGTTAATGTATAATCACCACCCACGTAATTGGTCAGAGTTTAAGAGATAGTGTTAATCGTCCATTTCTTGAAACGCGTTCACCCGGGCCCTGTAAAATTTGAAAGTTTAAAAAAAAAATAATGTAAGTCTTTTTCCGCACCCATCGACACAATCTAGATCATTTAGGAGGTAGGCTTCATGGTCAACCCAGGCTGGAGGAGATACAGCACCTCATCAGACAGACCAAAATACTAAATACTTCAGTCAGATTTTCTTCCAATGAGTTGTAAGAACTATAATTTGGGTACAATTTGATCAAATTCTCTAAAATCAAACATGGCTGTTTTTGGAGGATCTCATCAAATCGTATAGTGTGAAAATGGTAGCTTTTGCCACTCCATCAAGGAAAATTCAGGCCAGTCCGACTGTATCAAATATGTAATTTTCCACTGGCTATAAGCTGAGTGGGATATAACACCCAAGCGTAAAGTCGGAGATACTCGATAAATTATCTGCTCGATGCGAAAGCTGATCTCACTTGTTCTGGATGAAACGGCTAGGAACCGCTCTAGCCCTTATACTCGTACACGTACCATAGACGCGGGTGCTATAAATAGCAGGTTTACTTCTTGTTGTCTTGTTGAGTCTGGAAAAATCCTCGAGTTCAGATGCTGAGATAACACATTCTTTGGATTGTCCTTCCTGTTTAAGCAAATTTGCTTTGTTTTGTTCTGTCTTCAGGAAAACAGAACTGCCCACTGGTGGTGTGAGGCGACTCCCCGACAACTTCTTGGTGTCAAACCTCACGGACGTGCTCGCTAAACGGTAGGTACATCGGGAGGAAGCGGTGTCAGCTTCTTCTGCTGCTACAGTACCGTACTATAGCTGTCTGAGTCGTCATAGTTGTTGTTG